GGGCGCAGGTTCTAGAATCAAGCCCAGGCCCTTCCTCAGCAACAAGGGGACAATGTTGGTACAGCTTAGGAGATTCATATCCCACCCTCTTGCCCCACAGAGGCTCTGGATCCACTATAAAACCGATCAGGAAGGATCAGCGGATCATCCCATCCAAAGCAACCAACCTGGGAGCATCCAGACAGGTGGACAAATGATAAGCAAAAAAAAAAAAAAAAAACCAAACAGAAAACATACAGTGCAAACTGCAGACTCAGTCAGGTGGCAACCGAGACCAGAAAATGTTTTACGATTCATCACAATCGATGTAAAGGCTTTTAACAGAAAAATATGAAAGCATTGTGTTTCAGTGCAGCCTGATTCTCCCCCCACATCCCAACCAGGTCACAACAATGTCACTCAACAGGATAACACTCACTAGCTCTCCATCAACTGCTGCTGTGTGGTATTTGATACTGCAGCAATTGAAAGTAAACAATCTTCTCGATGCCTTTCAAATTAGAAAGCAAAGATTAAAACTGATCTCCAAGTGATCGCGCAGTACAACACAATCCTGGGTTTCCTGAGAAACTCACTCTCCATGGGCTGTGGGAGCATTTATTACCCAACCCCAATTGCCATGGAGAGGGTGGAGGTGAATGGCTTTCTTGAATCACTGCAGTCTGTAGGGTGTATCACAATGCTACTAGGGAGGGAAATCCAGGATTTTGATCTAGCGACATCGAAGGAATGGGAATATATTTCTGGGTGAGTGGTCACCTGCAAGATCCCACCAAGCCAACAAGCACCATCTCAAACTCCAAATAGCCCTAAGGCCACAATGGTTAAACTTGGGGAATTCCTGTCACCTCCAAATACCCTGCAAAGGTAAAGAATCTCAAAACATTTTAAACAGGTTAAGGAATTATTTCAGGCAGCTGTACAGTGGTAATTTCAACTAAAAGGATGTTGCCACCTACCTACCACACAATTGAGCAACGCTGTGCATGAATATCAGTATTGGTATGATATCAGGTATGCAGGCTGTACATCCTGAAATAGAATGAGAATCAAGAAAAAACACATTCCTCTGGTCATTTGTAACAGGACAAGGACGTGTCGCCCCTGGATACTCTGTTCAGCACTTGAACTATCCCAGGTGCACCAACAGCTTTAACACCCAACAATCATCAGTGGAGTTCCTAATGTGGCTAGGTGACATTTGCTAGAAGCTGCACTATCATTGGTTGGCTGGGTGGGGGGGGGGGGGAAGAGGAGGGGGAGGAGGAGGAGGAGGTGGTGGGGGCATCGTCGTGTGCATTTGCTGCGAAGAAGGATTTTGTTTAAACTTTGCACCCTTCAAAATTTTGAAAATCACATTACCTGCAAAAGGAAGGATATTATCAAATTGGAGAGGGTTCAGAGAATATTTACCAGGATATTGCCAGGAATGGAGGGTTTGAGTTATAAAAACAGGCTGGGACTTCTTTCACTGGAGCATAGGAGCTCGAGGAGTGACCTTGTAGAGGTTTATAAAATCATAAGGGGCATGGACAAGTTGAATAGCAAGGGTCTTTTTCCCTAGGGAGTTGGGGGTGACTTCGAAACTAGGGGCATTTTTTTCCCCCCAAAGTGAGGAGAAAGGTTTAAAAAAAAAAAGGACATATGGGGCAATTTTTTTTTTAAATAACCGAATGGTTCATGTGTGGAATGAACTTCCAAGATGCAGGTACAGTTACAACATTTAAGAGACATTTCGATAAATACATGAATAGGAAAGGTTTGGAGGGTTATGGGCCAAATGCAGGCAAGTGGGACCAGCTTAGTTTGGGAACATGGTCAGTATGGACTGGTTGGACCAAAGGGTCTGTTTCTGTTCTGTATGACGATGGTCTGGACACAGGGGAAGCTGGTAGGTCTCTGCTGCTTTCTCCATGGCAATAGATCAGCCAGTGTCTCTTTGCTAACCAATCAACATCCCTTCCAACTTGGGGTATAAAATTGTGGTGATTGTTTGATATTTGGTTTTCTGGCCTTTATCCTGATGAGCACAGTGAAAAGTTTCAGAAACCAGTCAAATAACATTCAGATTCAGCACAACCAAGGAATCTCTATTTATAAATGCAAGCCCTCTGGAAATCCCAGAGCACTTCCCAGCTAATGGCATAATGTAAAAAATTCACACCACTATTGTGATGGTGAGTGTGACAGTTAATTCTTGCACAGCAATGCTGTGTGCGTTTTAGAAAAAAGTAATAACCAATCTGCTTTGATGATGTTGATTAAGCAATAATTATTCAGCAGCTCAATGAGTGAACTCCCCAAATCTTCTGCTAGTGTTAGTGGAAAAGCAGCAAGTCACAGGGGAGTATATTTAATCCCATAGTCCCAGCAGCTGGCTTCCTTGACGTTGGGTCATATTTCATTAACTGTGACAATCTCTCTCTCCCTTTAAATATTTCACAGAATGTTGAGATCATCCCTGGGTGATGGGGTGCTGTTGTCTTGGAGTTCTGCAGTTCAGATGGAAAAGGCACTGTCACTGCTAATAGTGAGGGAGTTTGAGGATTTTGAACACATTACAATAAAGGAACCAGGATTGATGGAGGTTGTGGCTTTAGAGAATGCTTTCAAAGGAGCCTTAGAAAACTGCTGCAGTGCAGATGGCAAATAGTGCCGCCTGTTTTTGTGGTACTGGAGGGAATGGGGGAGTGCAGTCAATGATTTAAGGTGGTGGATGGGGTGCAAATCAACTGAAATCCTACATCTTGGATAATGTCAAACTGCTTGGGTTTTATTGGAGCTGCACCCATCCAGACAAGTAGGAAGCATTCCATTACAGTTCTGACCTGTGCCTTGCAGATGGTGGACAGGCTCTGGGGAGTCAGGAAGCGAGTTAATTGTTGCAGGATTCCCAGCCTCGGACTTGCTGTGATAGCCGCTGTATTGATATGACTGGTTCAGATCAGTTTATGGTCAATGGTAAGCCTCTGGATAATGTGAGTGGGAGATTCAGTGATGGTAATGCCATTGAATATCAAGGGGAGGTGTTAGTCTGGATTAAAGCATGATTCACTCACACACTTTGTTGATTGATGCACCAAAATGAACAGATTATTCAAAATATCTTTTACTGCTAATTTTGGCCAAGTTATCAGATACGATCGTTTATGTAAGGTGGTATATTTAACATTTATAACTGTTTACAAGGCATTAGCTTTTGCAAGAACTCCTGCTATCTACAACATGTACTGGAGCTATGTGCAGTTGTTAGAACGCCCCTCATACAGGCCACGTCAAACCACGTACAGCTCACTGCTCGATCACTAAACCCAGTCTCTCAGAGAGCGAGAGCCTGGGCCTGGGCCAGGGCCAGGGCCAGAAACCAGACAAAACACATGGCTACAGATGGCAGAGATTCCAACATAAACACTCCCCACACCTGCCTCCAACACTCAGACAGAATCTAACACAAACTCCTCCAAACTCAGGGCCAGGGGAAAAGTAATCTTTGAAATGAGGAGGAGGAACCCAAAACAGATCATAATCCAGGCAAATGATAAGAGTCACACTGCAGACAAACCATACCACTCTCTTCACATTCATCAAAAGCAGAATAGACTCAATTTTTATAGCATATGAGGCAGCCATTTGGTTCATCATGCCTGTACTGGTTCTATTACCTAGTGCCAATCTCCTGCCTTTTTCTCCCATATCTCTACCACCATTTCTATCCAAATAACCATCCAATACCCCTTGTGAATGCCTCAATTGAACTTGTCTACATCACATTCCCAGACAGTGCATTCTATTCACAAGCATGGAGATTAAGAAAATGGATTTCAAAACAGCTCAGATTAAAAGGACCTGGAGCAAGCTAGGTGGCCCCTTGAGAAGATCACAGCTGACCCTCCAAATCAACACCGCTGCACTTCCTCACCTTGATGCCCTGAGGGTCCAAAAAGCTATTTGTGGAAATCTTCACACCTCACTCAAGGAGACTAGCTCAGTGAGCTATGATTAAAGGGACTGTAATAGAGCGTGTGTGTGACAAAGCACATGCTCCAAAACATGGCACTGAAAAGGTGCTGTACTGTCAAAGGAGCCACCTTCCAGATGAAGCATTAAACAGAGGCCCAGCCCAGTCTGGTGGCTGTAAACGATCCCAGAGCCATTACTGGAAGAAAAACAAGAGAATATTATGTATACTACCCAGAAGAAATCATCCCCAAAACACCCAGTGTTCACACATCACATAACCACAGCAACAAATAATATTCAATTCTTACCTTTTGCTTCTGTGGGAAATGTTGCAGAATGTCTGGACACAAAAAGCTTGAGCTGTTCATCCAGGCTGTAGGCAGCAGCATCGATGTCCCAGGAGAGGATCCCTGGAGAAGAAACACCAGCAGTGAGGGCATGGCAGAGGTGTGTGCATATGTGATTAAGAGAAAGACCTCAAAGCTAGTGGACAGGGAGGTGTAAGAAATGTCAACCTTTAGCGTGAAGAGGTTGGGCTTTGGGGATGATGAAATGCTGCTTCTGTTGACAAACTCCATCCAGCACAAACTTATCATGTAACCATTTCAGCTCAATCACTTGGGGAAGTCTCATCACAGCCTACAGACTCACATGACCACTTCCTCCCCTCTGCATTTAACTCCAGCTAAAACCAAAACAACATTCCATTTTTCCTTGATTTTTTTTTTCTGACCAGCCTCCAGTTTGTTAGAGCACATGGATAGTTCAATCCCAATGCTGCTACAGCTCGAGCAGCAGGAACATTTTACAACTGGCTAATCTCTATTTTACTTTTCAAACACCCTCAATTACGTTTTATCCACTCCAGGCTCCTAATGACAGGACTGATCCATGAACCATTCCCCAACCATCAGTCCTGACCAAAGATAATTGACCTGAAATGTTAATTCTTAAGATTTTACCAGCACAAATGCAGAGCGACGCCTACACCCCCTCCCTTTTTTCAAATCCACAATTTACTGGGCACTGATTTAAATTACAAATAGAGTAGTTGCTGTCATCACTGAGGAAATGACACATGATTGATCTGCACTGAAAACAGTCATAGAATTTTCATAGAATCCCTACAGCATAGAAGCAGGCTGTTCAGCCCATTGAGTCCACCCTGTAGGTGAGCATCCCATCCAGACCCACCCCTACCTGATCCCTGTAATCCTGCATTTCCCATGGCTAATCCACCTAGCCTGCACATCCCTTCACATTATAGGCAATTTACCATGGCCAACCCACCAACCTGCACATCTTTAGACTATGGGAGAAAACCCACACAGACACAGTCAGATGTCCAAGACTGGAATCAAACTTGGATCCCTGGCACCGAGAGGCAGCAGTGCTAATCACCGAGCCACCCGGGTGTCAGTCAGAGATGGTTTAAAAAGTAAACAAGAGAAATCAAGTTTTCTTCCACAGGTACTTCTAGGAGACTTTGGGTGACACACACCATTTGAAGTCCAACAGGAATTTGGGGGGGGGGGGGGGGGGGGGGGGGGGCGGAGCAGCAGCAAATATAAACAAGATTTTGAGCTTCACAACAAGAACAATTTGCTGGATAAACTCTGCAGGTCTGGCAGCATCTGTGGAGAGAAAGCGTTTTGAATCGTGACCCTCTTCAGAACTGTTCTGAATGTTAACTGCTGTCACCCCACACACGCTGCTAGACCTGCTGAGTTTCTCCAGCAATTTCGGTTTTTGCGTCAGACTTCCAGCATCCGCGGTTCTTTGTTTTAGTTTAGCGTTTTCCTGTAGCCCCAGTGACAGTAGTTACAGTAGGAACAGGAAATTGAGACGAGGTAGAAGATAAAATCGACGCTCTGTATTGGCCACATATGGAAATGGAGACATTGTGTGGGTTTCTTTGTAGGCCGATACATTGTATCGGTCACATACGGAAACGGACACATTGTATCCGCCTGACTGGAAATCCAACATGAAACTGACACATTGTGTCCAGCTCTGGAATATTAAACAGGTCCCGACCAGGGTTTATAACAAAAACAGAAATAGCCGGAGAAACTTAGTATCTGTGGGAATAAAGCAATAATATCGAGTCCGGTGACTCCTCAGAGCATGGTTGATCACACTTCGATCGGCTTGTCGCTGATCCTGGGATCCACTGTGTCGGAGATCCGGATGGAGATGGTAATATCTCCCCAGTCTACAATGTTTTTTGGGGGGTGGCGGTGGGAGTGGGATATCTCCCGCTAATCCGGCCCAAGCAGGCGTTCCTGCGGGAATACATTCAAAAATTCAAACTGTGTCGCTGCACAGATAGGTGGGAATGCAGCTCGGATTACAAACCGCCCGGGGACACACAGACATTAATATATACCCACGCCGCCCTCAAAACAAAAATCACAAACCGCCTTTTTGTTCTGTTGGAGTATTTTTTTATATATAAAAGCAATGACGGAGGGCGGTGGGTGGAAGGGGGTTGTTAAACCGGGTCCTGGAAACTCCGGCAACACGGTATCCCCTGTCCCGGTCATCAGCCCGGTTATCTGCCCCTTCTCCCCACCTTCCTCCGCTCACCCTCCCGGGGACCGGCAGCCTGGCCCTGAGCTTCCCCTTCTACCCAGAGCCGCTTCCCGGACACAGGCCCCGGGGGATCCAGGGCGATCCGGCAAAGTAGAGACTAACAGCCCCTACAAGCGGCAACATTTACCCCCGTTAGAGGCAAAATCCCGCGGTAATCCCGTGCTATCAGCCCAGCCCGCCCCACCCAAAGCGCGTTCCCGGGTTAGCGACTCGTTGCTCCCGCCTGAAGCCGCAAAGCCCCGACACCCCAGGATGGCGGCGGCGGCGGCGGCGGCGGCGGCGGCGGCGGCGGGGGGGGGGGGGGGGGACGGGGGTATTCCACATTAACCAGCTCCTGGTAACCACTGGGAGCGGGAATTCAACATTCCCAATGCCCCCCCCATCAAATACCCTGGGATAGGGGGAGGGGGATTGAATATTTACAGCATCCCGATACCCCCACCCGGGGGAAGGGCGCTGAGCGGCTGCGATACCGTACGGGCCGGTGTTGGCGGGAGGGGCACCGATACCCCCGGAAAGGGCAAAGGGCAAAGGGCCTCGGGGCTGGCTCTCTCACCTTGCCGAATCTGTGCGATCACATCCGACAACAGCTCGGGCCTCCCGGCCTCTCCGACTACCACCAGGGCCGAGGCTTTGCGCTGCCCGTTCCCAGAGGCGGCCACCGCCATCCCCGCTCCCGGTCTCGGTGCCGCCGCCGACGCCGACTCAGTAAATCCGCAGCAGGAGCTGAAAAACCAACCAATCAGCGGCTTGTACCCTCCCCCCCCCACCGACTTCCGGTCTCAGCCCCCCACCGGCCACATCGCAGAACCCAGTTCCAGGTCCGGAGGGAGGAGGAGATGGAGAGGGAAAGGGATGGAGTGAGGAGGAGAAATGGAGATGAGAGATGGAGATGGAGAGGGATGAAGGGAGGGAGAGGGATGGAGGGAGGAGGAGGAGGAGAGAGGGATGAACGGAGGGCAGAAGAGAGATGGAGAGGAAAGAAGGGGAGGGAGGGAGAAGGAGAAGGAGAGGGGAGGGATGGGAGGAAGAGGTAGAGAGGAATAGGATAGAAAGGGATGGGAGAGAGAGAGGTGAGAGGGAATGGCAGACAGTAGATGGAGGGGAGTGGTGAGGGGAAGAAAAGGATGGGAGGGGATGGGGGAGAAAAGGATGGGAGGGAAGTGGAAGGATGGGATGGAGGGAGGAAGAAGGAGAGAGGGAGCAAGTGAAGTAATGATGGTTAATTTCAATCTGCACCTAGTCTATGTAAATGTAATGAACAAGGTTGTGGAGAGTGAGTTTCTGGAGTTTGTTAGCAATGATTTTCTGTAGATTGAAGATCCAACTCAAACAAGCTATCTTCTGTATTATGTAACAAGAAAGGGCCAATTAATAATCTTGTTGTAAAAGCATTTGTTCTGGCTAAGTGGCAATAGAATTATACCTGTAAAAGTGAAGTAGTTCAATCTGAAGGAAATTATGAAGGTACAAGCAAATTGCCTGAGGTGGATTGTGAAAATAAATTAAAGATATGATTGTACATAGGCAGTGGAAAGTCTTTAAATAATTATGACATAATATACATTCCTTCAAGACACAAATACCCCCTCAAAATGTCAGTCATTGCAAAGCAAGTTAAGAATTGTGTAAACTGAAAAGAAAGGCCTATAATGTTGCCAGCAATACTGGTAAACCTGAGGATTGGGAGAATTTTATAATACAGCAGAGGAGGACTGAGAACTTTATAATGAAAGGGTGAATAGAATATTAATGTACACTAGCAAAAAGTGTAAATGACTGTAAATGCTTGTATAGATATGAAAAAAGGAAACATTTAGCTAAGACAATCATGTGTGTGTTACAGGCAGAGTCAGGAGAATTTATAATGAAGAATAGCTGAGCAACTACATGATTATTTTGTGTCAGTCTTTAGTGAGGAAAATACAAGAAATCTCCCGGGATTAGAAATCCAAGGGATTAGAAACCCAATGCTCTTTGGAGGGTTGGGTAAGACTCAAGATCCTGAATGCTCTCTATCTGCACTAAGGGATTCTGTGATTCTATAACGTTCCACACAGGATGTTTGTTCACAGAATTAAGGCACATGAGATTGGAGGTAATGCATTGGCATGGATTAATAATTTTGGTTAACATACAGAAAGCTGAGAATTAGAATAAATGGGTCATTCTCATGTTGGCAGACTATGACTAGTTAGGTACCACAAGGATCAGTGCTTGGGCCTCAGTAGTTCACAATCTATATCAATGATTAACAATTTGGACAGGAAGACTAAATGTAATATTTCCAAGTGTGCAGATAACATAAGGCTAGGTGGGAATGTGTGTTGCAAGGAAGATGTACAGTGGATTTAAGAGGATTTGGACAGGATTAGTGAGTGGCAAGGAATTGGTAGATGGAATATATGTGAGATTATCCATTTTAGTGAGAAGAATAGATGTGCAGCACATTCTTAAATAGTAAGAAGTTGGAAAGTGTACATGTAAAAGGTCAGAGAGATGTACAGTACAGAAACAGATCCTTCAGTCTAACTCATCCGTGCTGACCAGGTAGCTTAGGTAAATCTTGTTCTATTTGCCAGCATTTGGCCCACATCCCTCTAAACCCTTCCTATTCATATACCCATCCAGATGCCTTTTAAATGTTGTAATTGTACCAGCCTCCACCACTTCCTCTGGCAGCTCATTCCATACACGCACCACCCTCTGCGTGAAAAGGTTGCCCATTAGGTCCCTTTTAAATCTTTCCCCTCTCACCTTAAACCTATGCCCTCTAGTTTTGGACTTCCCTACCCTGGGGAAAAGACCTTGTCTATTCACCCTATCCATGCTCCTCATGAGTTTATAAACCTCTATAAGGTCACCCCTCAGCCTCCGACGCTCCAGGGAAAATAGCCCCAGACTATTCAGCCTCTCCCTAAAGCTCAAACCCTGCAAACCTGGCAACATCCTTGTAAATCTTTTGTGAACCCTTTCAAGTTTCACAAGATCCTTCCTAGAGCAGGGAGACCAGAATTGTGTGCACTATTCTAAAAATGGCCTAACCAATGTCCTGTACAGCCTCAACATATCCTCCCAACTCATATACTCAATGCACTGACCAACAAAAGGATACCAAATGCCTTCTTCACTATCTTATCTACCTGTGGCTCCACTTTCAAGGAAATTTGAACCTGCACTTTAAGGTCCCATTGTTCAGTAACACACCCAGGACGTTACCATTAAGTGTATAAGTCCTGCCCTGATTTGCCTTTACAAAATGCAGCACCTCACTGTTATCTAAATTAAACTAAATCAAAATTAAAGGAGTGTAGCTGTCCTTGTCGATATGTCACTAAAGGTTAACATGGAGCTGCAGCAAAACTGATAGAACACTTGCCTTTATTGCAAGAGGGAGTACAGAGGACTGAAGTCATGTTTCGGTTGTACAAGAGCTTGCTGAGAGCTCACCTGGAGTACTGTGTGTAGTTTGTTTCCTTATCTCAGGAATGATATTATTGTCGTAGAAGGAGAACAGTGAAGTTTCACCAGACTTGTTCCTGGGATAGCGGGACTGTCCTGTGAAGGGAGATCGGGTAAACTGGGCCCTGTATTCACTAGAGTTTCAAAGAATGAGAGGTGATCTCATTGATATGTACAAAATACTGAAAGTGTTAGACAGGGTAGAGACAGGTAACATTCCCCTAGTTGGGGAGTGTAGAACCAGGGAGTACAGTTTAAAAATAAGGAGAAAGCCACTTCTATCTAAAATATGAAGAATATTGTTTTAAACTCAGAGGTTTGTGAATTTTTGCTCTGTGGAAGTTCAGCCTTTGAGTATGTTTAAAGTAAAGATTGACAGATTTCTAATTCCCACTGATGTAAAGGGAAATGGAGCTAGTGGAGAAAAAGGCATTGAAGTAGATGATCAGCCATGATTGTACTGAATGGTGGAGCAGGCTTAGTAGGAACTGCAGATGCTGGAGAATCCGAGACAACAAGGTGCAGGGCTGGATGAACACAGCAGGCCAAGCAGCATCATAGGAGCAGAGAGGCTGACGTTTCGGGCCTAGACCCTTCATCAGAAAAGGGGGAGGGGAAGGGGGTTCTGAAATAAATAGGGAGAGAGTGGGAGGCGGATAGAAGAGGGATAGAGGAGAGGATAGGTGGAGAGGAAACAAACAGGTCGAAGAGGCGGGGATGGAGCCAGTAAAGGTGAGTGTAGGTAGGGAGTTAGGAAGGGGATAGGTCAGTCCAG